ACATCCACTGCAACTCCACATTAAATAAGCTTAATTAGCTTTAATTAATTAATCAAGTCTCTAATATTTCATCCATCATGATATATATATCCTTACAAATTAAGTTGCACATTATACATAATTATTTATTGAACCAAGCCAACCAAGGATCACACACATTACAGTGGGAGCGGGCTGCCCTTTGCTTTCTAGTAGTGAGAGAAGAAATTACATGAAATCAAGGGCGCATTCATACAGTGCATGCCTCTTCTACTCTTTGCTACCCTAAAAAAATCTGGGCTGGTCTTGATACCATAGCTTCTATCCTCACAATAAGTCACCCATTTTTTGAAGCCAATCTAAAATAATAAGCTTCAAAAAATAATCCACCATGTACTACTTCAAAGAGAAAAGATAATTCCAAGCCAAAAAGAACAAAGAGAAGGCAAGGTCGTAATTAAAAGAAAACCCATGTATCCTATTCTGTTAGTTATGAAGAAATCCAAACAAGTCACCCACCATGAGAGATTAACAATGAGTTTTAAATCAGAATTAAAGAAGAAGAAAAAGGAAAAAGACCCCATGATTTTTTTTTTTCTTTTCATCTTCTTATTTTAATTACCATGATCCTCCTCCTAACATTCCTGTCCAATACCCAGTTGAGTCTCCATGCTCCTTGTTCTGCTCAATCCCTCCTCCAGTGCTTGAAACTTGCTTCAAATCTTCAAATGGGAACAAAAGCCTCCCACTGCTCTCTTGAACACCTTGCAGACTCCCATATCCACTTCCAAGCCCATCCAGGGAAAAATTAAGTGTTGGCTTGAAATCCTGCATAGGGAACCCAGATGTGGTGCTATATACAGTGTTGTTGTTGTTGTTGGGGTCTGGAACTGGCATAGGCATGAAGGAATTCAAACCCCTTGAAGTCAATCCAGTGAGAAGCTCCAAAGCTGAGAGGTGAGATGTGGTGGTGGTGGTGGTAGAAGATGGGGAAGAAGCAGAAATATTAATGTGGTTCTGCTTGTTGCTGTTTTCCATGTTGTTGTTGTTGTTGGGCAATTGATGATGTTGTTGATGATGATGAACCAAATGGTCAGAGATAATATTCCTGAAATCTTGATTAGTGGCTGGAAAAGTCAGGTTTAGATCTTGGCCTTGATTAATCTTTGGGTTTTGGGGTTGTATCAGATCAGGAAGCCTCTTGGATGCTGAAGAAGTAGAAGATGTTGTTGTAGAAGAATTAGCGACTGCTGAAGAAGATGATGATCTCTTGTTCTTCCTTGAACCCCCCCCAACTGGGATGTTTCTGAGGGACCCACCTTCAGTCCAGTACCTTCTACAAGTCTTGCAGAAGTACCTGGGCTGTGTGAGGCTGTAGTTGTTGTAGTAACAGAATTTGGTGTTGGTTGAGTTGCACCTTGGACAGTTTAGGGCTTGTTCTTTCTGAGGTCTTGCCTTCCTCTCTAAATTATTGACTGCTGCTGCTGCTGCAGGCTTAGGGCATGCATTTGTCACTATCTCTTCTATTGGTTTCACCACAATTCCCTTTAAAAAGCCAAGAAAGGGAAAGGATTTCAGATCAAACAAAAGAAAATGAATAATCAGCTAGTACCAGTGGAGAACACTGTAAATTTAACGAAGATGGAGCAGAAGGACAAGCAAAACAAAACAAGAGAGCAGCTGCTTTACACTTTTTCAAAATTATAACAGGCAACAGAAGAAAAAGGAGAGAAACAAAAACAAAAGAAAATTGGGGTCTTTTTTCCTTTATCACCTAAACAAAAGGTAAAGTGAAACACCATGTTGAAGAACTGATAAAAACTAAATCCAACTGAGTGGGGACTTGCACTGATCACACCATCATCTTTACAAAGGAGAACCCAAAAGGGCCATTCATTTAAAGAACAAAAAGATCCCATACAATAAATAAGCTTCTTGTCTAAATTATTCATGGAAAGAGAGAAGAAGAAAAAGGGTTGATGATAAAAAATGAAAATCTATATCTATATACCTGTGGCCACTGAGCAGTATCCATGGCGGCAACAAACTGGAGTACAAGAGGAGCTAGCAAGCAAGAAGAAAACTGTTATCCTCAAAAAGAGAGAAAATTCACTTTTCTTGAAACTGGTTACAAAAGCTGGAAAACAAAAAAGAAAGAATGTTTGTGAGAGGGTTTGTGTGTGGACGTTCTGTGTATGTATGGCCCTTGCTTTATGTGTTGGGTGTATGAGAGAGAGAGAGAGAGAGAGAGAGAGAGAGAGAGAGATGTTGCTTTGTGTAATTTTATAATAGTAGTAATATTCTTTTCATTTTTAAGTATTTTATTCTAGACATCCGAGAAGGAATATTTGTCTGCAGATTTAGTAATTTAATATGATGGTCTTGCACAATTTAAAATGAGACTTTGTGCCTTGTGGGTAGCTTTGGATGTACTGTACAGAGAGAGATATATATATATATATATATATACATCTCTTGGTGGTGGCTTTTCTCTTTTCTAACAATAAAAAAAAGGGAAAAAAAAAAGGCCAAGTCAGATTTCTCTCATTTCATTCAATCATCTTAACCCCAGCTCTTCTTATTTGTAAGCTGCTTTTTCTGTTAAAAGATAAATAATGTTTGTTAGCATGCATTGTTCAGAAAATGGACAAGGTAGATGTCACATACATGCTCAAATTGAGTTGGGTTTGCTGATGAATAGCTACATACACATCACTTTACCTGAGAGACAACCAGCAGCAGACTCCAATAATTTCAATATCATAATGTAAAAACCCTTTATGCATGAAGCATCCAAAATGACTCAGCATTCATTCCATGGCATGAATGAATATGGCAAAGCCCTGTTGCTAGTGCTACTTGCCACATGGGCCCATAGCAGATGGTTAATTAGCTAGAATCAAGTAGCTCAGTGACAAATTTAATCATGTTAAGACTTTTTCTTTATATAGACACCAGGCTTACACTGCCTTTACTTAACTTTTGAATTGCCTGTTTGAATTTTTTTTACAACTTTATGTAACTTTGACATTTCCTTGGTTTATACTGCTAGTCACAACAAAAGCCTTCTCTGATAGATTTGTAATAAATTTGATGCCAAATTTGATGGCATTATGCAGAAAATGTAGGTATGAAAAGCGACTTGACTACATAACTACTGGTTTAGAGGTTTTACATATTCTCCTGAATGCCGACTTGACAAAACCCCATCTTTTTCCAAAAATGACTCTGTAACATCATACTTGTTCTACTATTTGACATTAATGCAGGAGATGTATGTACACTTGAATTAAAGAACCATTCAATGAAATCCCTACATTCAACTACTTCAATGTTGAGTATAATGATGTTTTGGTCCTATTTTTGAAAGTGAAATTTGTTGTTGCATTTGACTATAAACGAGCACTACGCGTTGCGTTTCTACCAATATATTTCATTGAAAGTCTTAGGAATTAGGATGAGTTTCTGACCATGTTAATTAGTTTAGCAACACGCATGCACTAAGTAAATGTCATCAACGACAGACAGTTGTTAAATTCTAAAAAGTAAAAATAATAAGTATTAATGTTGGAGTGAAATAGACTACTTCATGTTGCTCTATCTCTCTGGCTGAAGTGAACCAGTCCAAAGTATGACACACGTACGTCTACAAAATCTTTTCATGACATTGAACTCAGAATAGCACTGATCATAAATCATTATCATTTGAAAATAAACGATTACAAAATAATCTCTTGTATTCAAAGCATATATATTTATATTATGTTGCAGATCATTCGCGATCTCATAGTTTAATGCAAAAAGAAAAGTGAAGGATGATGATGATAACCATATTTTAAGCACATCAATTGGCCAGAAATTAGTTCTATCAAATGTTGCTAAATCCAAAAGCCAAAAAAAAAAAATGCATTTTGGAAACTCAACCAAACCGAAGTACCAAACATTCCCTTAACCCTGCACATGCATTATTATGCATAGCAGACTCAGCAGTTGTTTCACTTGTCACTTAAGATTCCAAAGGTCCTGCGTTGGTTAAGTATACGAGCGACACGTGGACGATGCACTGAGCCACTGACATCTAACTTGAATTGAAGCTGAATGATTGAACTTGAACGGCCCTGATTGGCTGGGCTCTTCCTTGTCATCATGGCCTTGATTGATGAAAATGGGACCCTCTCTGCCTCTCGATTCATCAATCATGTAGGACCATGTGATATATATTTCTTTTCTTTCTGAACACATCTGGTATGACATTATTAGAATACCTAATCATATTTCCACAATGGCCCCCACCAAATTCTACTTAAAATCGTTTGAGCAGTACTAAGTAGAAATTCCTTAATTTTTCAGGTGAATCATGATACGCATTTAAGTTTAACCACACACGTAAATAAGGAGACTTCTTTGTATTTATGCTCAATACGTCCCATCTTAATGCATGAGTTTCTTGTTTGTGTGTGGTCGGACATATGACATACTTCACCTGCTAAGCTAAAGAATTTCTCAAATACTAAAGACATTAATTAGTATTTTATATGTTTTTAGTATAGTTCTATAGGCTGTGGAAAACACCTATTGGTTTTATTAATACGTCACCTGCTGAA